CTGGTATTCCTGGTCTCCAGCAAGGATATTCTCTAACTATTGCTTTGGGGTCTCTGGCCTACCTGAGCAGTTTCTGTCTCCTGCTCTGGCTTTGACAGGTGCCTTTCCCACCCTTTCCATTGTCTGCCTTTCTTCTGCTCTGTACTCTGCTGACTGTGACTGTTTCACTGGTATCTGACCAGTGTCCACCTCTAGCTTCCCCTTCTTAGATTTGTCAGGGCTGAATGAGTTTAAAACCTTACTCACTCCAAGTTAATCACATCTTTAATCACCTTCCCGAGGAAGGTGAAATACCGTGGTGTGCTTTAAGAATAATTATGTAGAACTGTTTGGAGGTGCTCCTACAAAGAGGGAACGGTTGGCTGAAACCCTCACCCCAATGTCTACCTCTCCATACCAGCCAAGCATTTGCTCAGGTTGAGGAGCAATTATGCTCCCTTTTAATTTCTTTATTTTTAACTTAGAAGAAATGTCTCCTCTGCATTGTTATGGAGACTGGATAAATGAGACAGATAGATGAGGGCAGGTATGAGCAGGTGACAGGAGTTGGCTGCCGAGTTACCTTTGTGATCCATCTCTGCAGACGCCTGTGTTAATTCCATGGAGACTCAGCAAGACTGATATCCAGCAGTGACAGTTTGGACATCTAAACATGACCTTGGATGTACCCAAAACCGCATCTGAAGCTATGCCAACTTCGCAATGTAGTATATCACAGGGGCCGCATAACTGTGCTGGAAATTGGCTGCATTCGGAGTGTTACTATATCTGCTGAGGAACCTCTCTGGCCCTGAAAGCAGTGTGGTGTGGTAGGAAGGCTTTGACTTCAGTCTGTTTTCAGTAATTAGATATTCGAACGAAAGCCGAGGACAGCCCTCTGGTACTCCTCTTGAGGTTCTGAGATGTCCCTGTTGTGGGCATCAACAACAGTTGTGCACAGGCTCACAGTCTGTTGGTCAGCATTTCCTGCACTGTGGACATTTAACTGGTGTCTGGTGAAGTCTCATCTGCTTGGAGGAAAAATAACTAAGAACCTGCTTTTGGTTTCTCAGAACATATTGGTTACAAGAAAGTTTTCTCCTGCAAAGGAATGGAAAAATTGTTGCTGACAAGAGTCATTTCCCAGCAGCCTCATCCACTCTGTTTTTCCCATTTCACCAGAAACCAGGTATCTAAATTAGTGCTTTTCACACTAATGGGCTCCAGACCATCATTGTCAATGCTGCCTGGGGTTACACCAAAATGCAGGTTCTCAGTCCCCAGCCCAGAACCACCCAGTCATCTCTGTTATACACTATCAGCCAGGAGATTCAGATGTGCATGATTCTGAGAACCAGTGATTTCTGTGTTTGTTTGAGACCTTATAAAGATACTGAAAAATACTAAAGTTGAAAAATAAAACAAAATGAAGCAAAAACAGTTATCCTGGCACAGTGGCTTAATATCAATATAATCTTAGTCAATATAGATATTTCTAAAGTTAGTTAATTTTTTCTGTCAATTTGCAACAATAACTTGCAGCCAAGTCTTGGTGATGCTGACAGTTCGTGTGGTGGGTTTGCACAGTACTTAGCATGTAGTATATGTATTCAATAACTGTTGATCAATAGTATGAATTTCATGTTAACTACTCAAACTCAAGCAAAGTTCAGAATGGTGACTACTCTTAAAAGTATCCATGCAAAGTGTGTTTTTAGTAAAGCAAGCTTTGGAGTTTGTTGACCTTCAGGGATTTCAAACCAATGTGGGTTCAGATCCAGGTTTCAGTCAGGAAAGCCCACGATGAAGACTACTGTTCTGTGAGCTGCACAAGGGAAGAACCAGTTCAGGGCTTTCCTCTGTCAGCTACCCTTCACTCTGTTTCACTGTCTTGGTTACTCTGGATTTTTTTTTTTTTTTTTTTTTTTTTTTTTTTTTTTGGTTTTTGAAACAGGGTCTCCCTGTAGCCCCAGCTGTCTTGGAACTCATTATGTAGAGCCAGGCTGGCCTTGAACTCACAGAGATCTGCCTGCCTCTGCCTCCTGAGTGCTGGGATTAAAGGCATGTGCCACCACGCCCAGCTTGGATTGTTTTTTTTATCTCAAAGCTAAAAAGGAGGCTGGAACTACAGTCTAGAGCAATCCGAAGTTCATGTGCAATCAAGTTACCTGGAGATCTAATTAAAATGCAGCTTCTGATTCATTGCCTCTGATACTGGGCTTTGGATGTGGGGTTTCTAACAAGCTCCCAGGTGATGGAGTGCTGTTCGTGATGTTGATGCTGCTGTTTGCCAATCATAGGTTTGCAGTGAGGTGGTGACTCAGCTTCACAAATGCTAATGCTAACACAATTTACCTCCAGATGAATGCTACTCAAAGAATGGTCAAAGATTCTAGTGCCTTCACCTAGGAGCCCAGTCAGGAAGCAGAATCTTAAATTAGACATGGTGACATAGGCCTGTAATCCTCACACTCTAGAGGCTGAGTCAGGAGGATAGAGAGTTTGAGATTAGTAGCCTAGGTTACATAATCTAGCTGTGTGTGTGTGTGTGTGTGTGTGTGTGTGTGTGTGAGAGAGAGAGAGAGAGAGAGAGAGAGAGAGAGAGAGAGACACTCAGACTCTTCCTCAATGTACTGGATCAGAACCTACTTTTTAGCAACACCCCTAGGCAGTTTACAAGCACAGTAAAGTTTGAAATGCAGCGGTGCAGCAGTGGCTAGTTTGATGACTTCATTTATTTGCAAACCTGCATTTGGTTTGGCACTTTACTCTTGCCACACTGAAATTCTCAATAACAGAGGTCTCTGCCTTTTCATTTGGCCCCAGGCTCCATAAATTATGTAGGTAGTCCTGGACGCATTGTTTTATACTAGTAGCTTTCAAACTTCACTTGACTCAACTGAGCTCTCTGCATTGTTTTATACTAGTAGCTTTCAAACTTCTCTTGACTCAACTGAGCTCTCTGCATTGTTTTATACTAGTAGCTTTCAAACTTCGCTTGACTCAGCTGAGCTCTTGTTAGAAACTGGTGCTTCTGGGTTCCCAGGCTCTGAATCAGTAGTACAAGGAATGTCATACCTTACAGACCTCTCTTGTGATTCTGATGTAAGTGGCACGTGCCCACTTCCTGTGCTCTTCCTGATTGGGTCTTCCATCATTCTCATGCTGTGTGTCAACATAATACCCTGCTTTTCTCCAGCATTGCCAGAAAATCTCATAAGCATCACAAACCTGCTAGACCCTAGAGCAAAGGTGTTTCTGGTTGGATGGTTTTCTCCACAGGAGCTCTCAGAAAAGTGTCCATCTGTGCCTGAGTGGCCCTCCAATGTTGATGTGACATTTACACAAGCAAAATGGAAAGGATGTACAATGTCAGATATCTCATCTCAAGAGATGTTTTCTGGGGAAGCAGGGAGTGGCAGTGTAGCGGTGAAGCAGCAATGGGATTCAAAAAGGCAAAATCCCATTTGGCTAGCTAGCTTTTTGTCACTATGAGAGAAAACCTGAGCAAAGCACCTTCTAGAAGGAAAGACTTATTTTGGCTCATTGTATCATGGGTGTCAGTTCCCCCTGTTTGGGGAGGCAGAGCAGAGCAGCTCACACTCACAGCAGAGGAAGCAGAAAAAGGGAATGTCTGTGGCAACCTATGAGCTCTGAATGCCATCTTCAGGGGAGTTCTTTCTCCCTTCCTCCACTGTCCCATCTGGAGACACCTTCAAAGATACATCCATGTGTATGTTTTACTAATCTCCAAGTCACTTCTGAAACAAATCAAATTGGCAGTCAAGATAAACCATGATGCTTTCCCACTGAAAATGTCACCTTTGCACATTCTGAAGCATATATAGGGCTAACAATAAAACCTGGATGACGTGACTGGCTCCAACATTTTCTCTTTTGTTGGGCAAGGCCCAGACAAGTTGGAATTTCAAATCCTGGTCTTCAAAGTGGAAAATGGGTGCAAGCATCTTTCCTACAGACATTGCAGGAACTAAATGAGACAGTGTGGATGTTTAAATTTGAGCCATCATTATATAGACCAGGCAACACAGCTATTTCTAGCTTTGTACTTAGAAGCAGGACGCTGTGTTTTGTGAATTTAGCCTCAGGCCATTTTACATACTTAATGTAGCAAGACAGGGCAATGAGTACAGACAGATATGATGAAGACTTGGCAAGAGTCAGTGGGAGATTTCAAAGTAAAGAAAAGAGAAGGAAGCTTCCACAGTTTGAGGACTCCAGATGCAAAAATAAAAGAAAGGGAATCTATTTTTATATGTGCAAACAGTTTTGAGATTTTGGAAAATGCCTTTAGTCTAGCAATAATTGAACATTTCTGCCCTTGGGTATAATGAAGATAGATAGCAGTGGTGGTCCATATTTAGCTTTGACTTCAGAAGCCTTCTGTTGCAATTCGCTATATTGAGATGAGTAGAAGTGCAGTTTGTAGTTAAGGCTGGGCGTCTGAACTAGCACACACTATCTGTGAGTTGGAAATGCATTTTTCATGCCTTTCCCTGAATTCCTTTTCAATAGATTATACCCCATAGGGCTGTTGAAAGTATTGAACAACCTAGTATACCCAAAATGCCCAGACAGTGATGGGGTCATTAGTGTAGAAACACTGGAGCTGAGCCAGGAAGACCGGTAATGTCACAAAGTTCCAGCTATTCTGAATATGCAAGATGCCTCTGGGTTATAGCTAAGAAGCTATTTGAAAGGATCATTTCCTCAGATAGTTCAGAAGCACTAAACTTCGCAGGATCTAGAATCAGAAAGAGTGAATGTTCTAAAAGTGTAATCCCACAAGGGCCCTGCTTATGAGCTCTGGAAAGTACCCCCAGCAGCCTCCACATGACAAGTCTATCACAGTCTATCACAAGTCTATCTGTGTGTATACTGGAGTGAGGGGAAAAGACAAGGCATGGTGTGACATTCCAGATTTGCCATGAAGACCTCACTCTAATAGCTTCTGTTTTCTCTTTGGTCCTTTCCCTTATCTATCTCATCTTATCTTTCAGGTGCACGATTGACAACCGGGTCACCCGGGTGGCCTGGCTAAACCGCAGCACCATCCTCTATGCTGGGAATGACAAGTGGTGCCTAGATCCACGTGTGGTCCTCCTGAGTAACACCCAGACCCAGTACAGCATCGAGATCCAGAACGTGGATGTATATGACGAGGGCCCGTATACCTGCTCTGTGCAGACAGACAACCACCCAAAGACCTCGAGGGTCCACCTCATTGTACAAGGTGGGTGGGGCTCCGCTGGGAGGTGTGATGAGTGACTGGGAAAGTCTGTATTTGCAATTCTTTCTAGGATGGGTTCTTTGATCTGGTAAAGACACCTTTCTGATGGTCATCTTGCATTTAGAAACTGAATTCTTCAATAATATGCTTGTTGAGAGTTAGATTATTTTCTCTTTTATTCTAGTAATATATTTATGTTGAGAATCAACTTCTAAGTATTGCTTTTCTTGGCTTTTCCTCCCATAAGCATTTTTTTCTACTGTTGTGTCTAAGCCCAAGCATGTTTTAAGTCCAGAATGTTAATGCTCTTCTGGTTCTACAAATATGTCATGCCCTAGACCAGCCTTCAAAGAAAGCAGATACCTCCACCACCTCCGTCCCATGTACCCTGCTCAGTGTGCTTGTTTGCCACCCCATCATCCCATGCCTATCCTAGAAAGACTGGATCGCAGTCTTTTATGTTTAGTTTACCTCAGATCTCTTCTCTTGCACTTTAGAGCCTTATGGTTTTTCTGGGACTTGGCTATTATTTTGGTAGTTTTTATGGTGTTTCTCTGAGTTCTGCTCTCTCTCCTCAGTCACTGGGACTGGTGACCACAAATCAGAGCTGGTCTCAAGGCATCAGACAATACTTAGCAAATAGATGGATTTCTAGTTAGTAGGCAAGAGCTTTAGAGCCACACTGACTGATCTCTGGTGGAGAAGCCTAAATCAAGTCTTACTGTGCCTCAAGGGCCCTTCTGGAGAAACGGGGTAAATGTGAAGATTGGGGCTGAGGATTTGATTTAACACATAAAGAATCTAAAGCACTTGGGAGAGGGCCTAGCCTGTAGAGAGCTGTTTACTTGGCAGTCATTGTGTTACTGTATTGCTCTCTTCCATGTTTCTTCTAATACTATTACTACATTTAAGCATTTGGTATGTTTTACAGTAGATTAAATCCTTGCTTTGTTATCTCAGGAGCTGAGGCCCTGAGCAGTGAAATCCTAGCAGCTCTATTGGAGGCAGAGCTCTTGCAGCCAGCCGCCCTGGCAGTGTGCCTCAGAAGGGTAGAAAGGTAGATTGTGGGAGAAAAGTGACGGAGATTGAGAAGGACAAACTGGAGGAGCTGAAAGAATGAAAGAAAAGCTGCTGTGAGAAGGAAGAAGAAAGTCAAACTTGGATCATGGATCAGAGCTGGGAGGAGCAGGATAGTGAGCAGTGACTGGAAAGGAACATGCTAGAAGTTTATCTCAGGTCTCTTCTCTGGCCTGGCTTGGTCAGAGGCAATGCCAGGAACAACTGGATGCTCTCGTGGTGTGACAGAGTGTGGTCATTCTGAGTTCTTATTTTTTTCCTCATTCTTTTTTTTTTAAAGCAAAGGGGAATTATGATGTTTTCTTTTATTGGTTCTATAAACGAGTGTGTTTTTTTTTCAAACTGCTACATGCAAATAGCATTTTAAAATAGAATTGCATAGACTAGATGGAATTAGAGTGCATTATAAATAGCAGACTAGGTATTGCTACATGAAATTTTTGTTTCAATGGGTATGCATTTGCAAAGTACAATACATTTTATTATAGAGGCAAAAGTTAAGAATCACCATTCTGTGGGGGGAGGTTTGGAGAATGCTCCAGAAAAGCCATCTATGATCTCTACTGGAGAGTGATTTTGCAATCCTTCTTCAGGTAGAGTGTCGGGTAGTGTCAATGAAAGTGGAAACTGAGCAGAGGTTTGCACAGGAAGCAGCGCCACTGTGGAACTTGATGGGGGAATGAAGAATGCTGAAGCCTCCTTGGAAAAGAAAACAATGCTTTTTTCATTCCTCCTCCTGATTTTGCTCTGCACACTCCAATAGACACCTGCCTTTGATATGTGGTAGCCTGCCTTCTACATACTAGACATTTACCAAATGCTTGTTGAAGCAAATATCTGGAATTATAGTACAAAGATCTTATATGGGTTCTAAGAGAGAAAGTTGGATGGTTGGGAGGTGGAGCAACAGGAGGGAGGGAGAGGATATGGTCCACATTCATCCTCGCTCCTGTTCAAGCTAATGGAAAATGTCTGATCCACAGCTAGGTGTTTACATCTGTGACTTGGCTAGGTGCCCTCTTAGCATGACATACCGTCTCAAGTATTGGAATCTCATCTTGGGCTAATTTTCGAATGCTGATGGGTGTATTGATCTGGAAACAAGGTGGGTTAAAAAAGGCCTTGGTCTTGTACACAGACTCAGCCCAACCTAATCCGCTGTCAATATGCCTGGGCTGAGTATTATTGACATGCTAATGAATAGAGGACCATAGTTTTTTCAGAGTCAATCTGTCCCCTTCTTCAAAGCAATCAGACAAACTAAATAGAGCCAGACTCCCCCTGTTTCTGAATTGGAAAGAGGATATACTACCATGAAGGATTAAAAAAGAAATATATTTATCTAGGGATCATATATTATACTGAACAGAAACCCTAATTCCCTTAGCAGAAGCTGGCTGTCTGGATTTAAGGTGCTTTTAAACTGAACTCTGCTGGAATGCAAGACAGGCATATTAAGTTTTCCAAATAGTATTATGATCATTAAATAAAGAAATACAAATAGCAGCAACAACAAAGAGCTAACCCAGTATTGTGCCTATGTGTATTTATGTCTATATAGTCAGCATCATATAATAAGCTCACGAAGATGGAAAGAAATGGCATTATCACAGTATCTTGCAACCTATTTAAGGTCTAGTATTATTTGTAGCATTATGACTATCAAATATCCCACCCACTCCATTAGTTCCTCATGCTAGATCTTTTTTCCTTATAGCTGCAATCAAAATGATTGGTTCTTAGAGACAGTCATGATGCCATCACTGCATCTGCCTAAGAAGCAGACATGAACACATTCATTCTTTCCTGCAATAAACAATCACTGAGAAACAACTTGAGCAGTGTATGCCCTGGATCTGCACTTAGCACATAAAGATGTATACAAAACTGCCCTTGAAGAATCAGTCACCTTTGTGTGAGAAGATGGAATTGTGTGTCATTTTTTAAAATTATCTCCAAGAATTTAGCTTCTGTGCATACTGATAATATTGGCTGTATCTCAACTCCATAAGCCTTTTTGTAAAGATAGCTTTGTGGTTGCATACATTCTCTTAAACTCATTTCATCTTCCTATAGTGATGGTATGTGAGTGGTTTCTGAAGCAGAATTGGTTAAGTGCCTGGAATGTGGGTTGAGTTCAGTTTGACCTGGGTTTGAGGTTATAGCCCTGTCTCACTACAGACAATAGGCAGTATTATAATACTGCTAATAATAATAATAATAATAATAATAATAGTAATGATAGTGTGAATCACAAGTAACCACAAATGCAATGATATTTACTATGGTGTAGTAATGATAGTGTGACTATTAAGTAGAGCCATGGTGAGTGCCAGTCAGAGTAAGAGTTTGTGGCAGGATCCACTGACCCAAGAGTAGAAATTCCAGGGGGAATTCTGGGGGCAGCAAGCTCAGCCTCAGGGCCAGGGGGATGTATGGCCAGCCCAAAGAAGAGGAGGATGGAGCTTCTTAACAGTGTAGAGCCAGGACTGTAGAAAGAACACTTGGTGAAGGAGAATGATCCAGGCTGGAGACAGAAACCAGACAGCACATGGGCCAAGTCTCTCTCACAAAGGCTACCCCTGGGGAGGAGGAAAGGTTTGGAATTGAGGAGGAAGATAGGTAGAAAAGAATGTATCAGAAAAGGGTGGACTGAGAAAAGCTTGAACGAACTAGCTACTAGCTATAGCAGCAATTTAAAATTTAAAGTCACAAAAATGAAATTAAGTAAAACACTTCAGTCACAGGAACTGTATTTTCTGTGCTTCGTTTATCTTGTTCACCCAGGAGCCACCTCAGCGAATGGTCTAAATACACAGAGTGAGCTTTCATCATAGGAGGCATTACTGGACAGTGCTGTAAGTGGTTACCAGTGTAGATACAAGGGAAATAAAAGACGGCAGTCTTATGACATAAAACAAAAGATTCTGAAAACTATGGAAGATTGGAGTTCCTTTCTTAGCTAGGACAAACATGAAAGTCTAGAGTCCAAAGGAGCATGTGGAGAAGACGACAGAATGTAGCATTCAGAATGTGAAGAGTTAAGAGAGGCACTCAAGGATCCGCAGCCAGAATAGAATCTTTCGGATTGGAATGAAGGAGATCCATCTAAGATTAATTAAAAATCCGGTCTAGGGGCTAGAGAGATGACTCAGCAGTTGAGTGTGTTCTGTTCTTGTAGAAGACCTGCGTTAGCCTTACAACCACCTATAGCTCCAACTCCGGTGGATCTGAAGCCCTCTTCTGCCCTTCATGCATTTTCACACACATACCCACACGCACATACATAGTTAAAATAAATATGTTTAAAAATCAGGTCTAATGATTTTAACCTTTTAACCTTGGGATTTCATCTTTCTGGGTGTAATTAATAAAAGGCTGCTTGTGAATTCTCACTGCATATTTCAGTTCTTGATTTTGCTATCAAATAAGCTTTGTGGACATCCAAACAGTCTTCTCATGTCTCTGTTGCTCCAATGGAAGGAGTAAGACCTTAGAAAACAGAGAGAATAAAACATTTGCTGCCACTTGTTTGCCACAGTTGTTTGTCAGCTACAGAAGACATCTCAAAAGCACTATCTGCATCTCTAAAAACTTGTGAACACTTATATTGTAAACCCATGCTCCAGCAATCATAGAGCACTAAGAAAGGTCCCTAACCATGCCTTGACCACATACCTTTGAGACTTTAATCTCGTGTAGAAGAGCATTTACTTGATAGAGAACAGAAGGCCAAAATTATAAAAACAGAGACATTAGTTTCATAATAATAATAATAATAATAATGCTTTTGGCCTCTTTATCAGGGTTCCAGGCCCTATCTAGGTCTCTGCATTGTCATTAGAGCATCTAATCGCCCCTCCCTTTTGTTTGGTGCAAATGAGTTTTCTTCTTTCTCCCTAGCAGAGTTAATCTGAAAATCCCTG